GGGCGGAAAGATGTTCGGCAAGTGCCTCTCCCAGAAGAGAGGGGAGATGGGTAAAGAAAGTGACCCCGAGCTGCGGGAAGTGGGGAGAAACAGCGGTAGAGAGGGGAAAAGAGGCCAGACTTGGAGAAGCAAGAGGCACTGGGAATTGCTGGGGCTCATCAATAGGGCACTAAAGCATGGCACAGGCCAGGACCACAAGCTGGTGGAAAGGGGGCTGCAGACTTTTGTGTTTTGAGCGTTATATTTAAAAATATTTCGAAAGGAGCATTTTTAAACCAGGAGATTTCACCTGAAAAGAAATTGGATTTCTGGCTTCTTCTGAAAACGGGAAGAGCTGGGATGCCCACAGTGGGCAGAGGTGAGTTGCCCTTACCATTTGTATAAGAAGTGTGCTCTCGTGTTCACCACAGTCCCTGCCATTCTCCACTGAATTACGCCCACCTTCTTAATTCATTTACTTTACCTTTCTGACCATGTGGGCATTTGAGATTTCAGTCTGTGTAAATCCAGCAGAGTAGGTCCTCACCTGGCTTCGGAGAGCCACTGCCTGTGGAGATCTCTTTTTGGAGAAAAGAGATCCCTGCAAAAAGGTGAAACTCCAGGAGTAGGGGAGAGTACTGGTGACTGAGCCGGCCTCTTCTGCCACATGGAAGGGTTGGTGGGACAGGGGGTGAGAATCAAAGAATGGAATCTGGAAAGATGAAGGCTGGGAGGGGTCAGTGTGGAGTCTGTAATATGTACCCACTTTCAAGCTTCTAATATCATTCAGGATATGGATATGGCTTTGGAGAGGGAGTAGGAAGACCTTTTTAGTTATATTCCAGAATTCCAGACTGAGAGCCTGTGCAAGGATGTGATGGATGGTTTCCTGCAATCCCCTCCCTAAACCCAACTCATATCCTGTTACTGGTGGATGTGAAACCGTTCCTTTCATTTGAAAGAGGATGATGATGACCATAACTCTTTGTACCTATACAGCTTACAAAGCACCTTCACATGCCTCAGCTCAAGCTTTCATGACTCTTGGGAGGTAGGTGTTGTTATCCCCACATGCTTAGTAAGTGGCAGAAGCCACAATTCAAACCCATTGCCTCTGACTCTGAGTCCAATGTTCTTTCAATTACAAACCAGCATGCTGATTTGTTACTGGCCAAAACTCTTCCGAAGCCCACCTAGTCCTATTCTGGCTGCATGGAATTTTTTTTTTTTTGAGACAGTTTCACTCTTGTTGCCCAGACTGGAGTACAATGGTGCAATCTCGGCTCACCGCAACCTCTGCCTCCTGGGTTCAAGTGATTTTCCTGCCTCGGCCTCCAAAGTAGCTGGGATTACAGGCATGCGCCACCACCCCCCAGCTAATTTTGTATTTTTAGTGGATACGGGGTTTCTCCATGTTGGTCAGGCTGGTCTCAAACTCCTGACCTCAGGTGATCTGCCCACCTCGGCCTCCCAAAGTGCTG